GAAATTTGCCGGATCGTTCGTTTTGTTGACGCTTTGGGATCCAATTTCCGCTACGCGTCGATCGTTGATCTTTTTGGGAGTTACAGTGACCACTGTCTCGCTCGAGGCATTTGACTCAACTTCGTGGCACATGCAAACCAGGTGCCTGTGACCACTTTCTAAAGAATTTGTTGACTCAACCACGTGGCACATGCAAACCAGGTGCCTGTGACCACTTTCTAAACAATCTCGATCAGTACACCGATTCAGCTTCAAAGCTGTATCTGTGGAACACATTCCATCTTCGTACACCGATTCAGCTTCAAAGCTGTATCTGTGGAACACATTCCATCTTAGTTTTGTTGACTAAACTTCGCGGCACATGCAAACCAGGTGCCTATGACCACTTTCCAAACAGATTCTCTATCAGTACACCGATTCAGCTTCGAAGCTGTATCTGTGGAACACATTCCATCTTGGGCTAAGCCGCAGTGTTAACCTTTTCACCCAGTCCCTATTCAGTACACTTTCTATTCAGAATGCTATCAGTACACCGATTCAGCTTCAAAGCTGTATCTGTGGAACACATTCCATCTTGGTACATCATCAGTACGCCGATTCAGCTTCAAAGCTGTATCTGTGGAACACATTCCATCTTGGTACATCTTGGCTTCTTGAAATATACATTTTTAATAATATTAATAATTTGCCCATTGACTTGTGACATGCTGTCTCTTTCCTTATCGTAATTTGCCCATTGACTTGTGACATGCTGTCTTTTCCCTTATCCCTTCTCAGCTGGGTATTACCCCAGACTGTTCAGTACGACTCTTTTATTCCAGATTCGGTTGGCTTGGACCTGTCGAACGCTTGGAGTCTAAACCCACAATGAAACATTTTGACCCTGACAGTGGATGCTGGGCACAGCTGTTTCGACGGATTTTTCTGCCTGCGTCCACATCCAGGCAAACGTATGAACTCGCTGTACTTCTTCCTATTTATTCATATCCTTGTGACTCCATTTTCCTCGTCTATTGTCCGACATTTTGCCTCTCCGTATCTTCTCCCATTAGAGCCGCACGCCGAATCCCCTCGATAATGCGTTAACAGTGACTTTAATTCCGATTGATTTGCTTATACAGCACATTTTTCGATCTTCCACACCAAAGTTTGTGACCTTGTCCGCTTTGTGTTCCGTTTACACAGCGTTTTCGTTCCGCTCCCATACCATCTCTAGTATGTATGTCTTCCAAGTAGTTTATCCATTTACCTGTACTGCCGTTGTACATATGATTATTTTGAACATATAATCATGCCTTATGCATGCTTCACGGGTTTCGTGAAATATACATTATTATTATTATTTACCAATGGAATCGAGGTTTCTTTGCAGAAGGTCTTTGACCTATTCATTGTGGATGCTTTTCCAAATCGTGACGTCATCAGCGTATAAAAGAACCTTTGACGTAAAAGATTGCGGCAGGTCGTTGACAAATATAATGAATAGCGGTAAAGATCCCTGAGGAACAACTGGGTGAGGATTTGGGAGCGCCCTGTTGACCTTAACTTTAAAGTTCCTACCGGTGAAGTAGTCCTTCAACCACCTGAGAACGCTACCTGATGTTCCACACTTGATTAGCTTTAAATCAGTTGACAATGTGGCACTTTGTCAAAAGCTTTCGATAGGTCTAGGAAGACTGCATCCAAGCTGTGACCTCTATCGGCTACTTTGGTTCAGCCTTCGGTGGCAGATAGAAGGTTTGTTGAACATTAAAGACCCATTCTAAAGCCGTGTAACTGAGGGGATAGGAAATCGGTTGGTTTCAGGTACCCCCTTATTTCATCGTCAATTATACTTTCCATTACTTAAGAGAGTATGGGAAGAAGTGATACCGGGCGGTAGTTACCTGAAAGAGTGCGAGCCCCTGACCTGTAGATAGGAGTTTTGATGCTCGTTTTTCAGTCGGTCGGTAGCCTGCCGTTGTCTAAGGATTTTCGGAACAGTCTGGACAGTGGAGCGCTTACAGTCTGGACACAGTTCTGCAGCAGAATAGCTGGTCTATTGTCTGAACCCGGTGTTGAGGTGTAACTTTTGCAGTTTCTTTTCGATGATGGCTCTTTAAAAGTTGATGAACGAAAGTCTTCTGATGTGATCGCTATCACTCTGGGCCTCCTCATGGTTGGGTTGCGGTGTGCTTTCAAACATCGCCTCGAAGTTACTGGCCAGTACTTATACTGCCTCGATGTTGGAGGAAGTTTCACCGTTGCCGTCTCTTACCGTCGTTATGCCTGCTGTTACCGATCTGACCTTGGAGATATATCTAGAGAGCATTTTGGGATTCACCTTGACTTTTTCAGAGTTGAATCTGGAATAGTCTTTTGTCAGACCGCTGTAGAGCCGTCCAGCGGTTTCGCAATTCTTTGTAGATTTTGTAATCATCTTATGATTTCATGATTGGGTATCTGTTCCACGAGGAACGTTTTTGATGTACTAATTTGTGGGTTCTATTCCTAATCCATGTGGGAGCTTTAGTTTGCACCCTAACGCTTCTGATCGGAACTGCAGAGTCTACCGCCATTTGGATGTTGGCTACCAGCTCCAACCAGATGTCATCAGGTATCGCTACTTGGCGGTCCCCCGACTAGTGTGCTGCCTTATAGAAGTTTCGGCCTAGGAGTTGTTTGCTTATGTTCCTGGTGGTTCTGATTAGGATCTCGAAACCTATGGTACCGTGATAGTTCTTCCCTAAAAGATCATGCACTAGTACGTTGTCAACCAGGTAAAGGTCGTTGGACAACACAGTCCAGTCTGGATGATGTGCCCTCATGACTCCACCTGGTAGGCCATTTTACGTGCCCCTCCAGCCTCAATTCGAAACATAACTCCACGAAGCAAACCTGCATGGATTCTGCAGGGCCCTGGGCTGTGTGACTCGCAAAGGCAATCGAAGGGACGTTGAAGTCCCCCATGAATAGTCTGTTGTTTTGGTCTAGCTCGGTGGATCTTCCTAAGCAAGCTAATATATGGTTATCCTCGGTTGCACAAGCGCTTCGAGGTCCGTACACAAGCCCCACTAAGTTTGCTTGTGGGCCCTCGATTTTGATGGAGACCCACAGACATTCAGGGTTAGGCCAGTCACTAGTTCGGATTGAAGGCAGTGAGCCACGTAAAGTATGACTCTCTCGCTTTTACCTTTTCATCTGTCCTTCCTGTAAATATTCATTCCGGGAATCGCAACTCTGGAGTTCAGTATATCTTCGTGCAACCAGTCCTCCTTTATTGCAGTGAGTTCTACGGAGCTTCGTTAGGTCAGTAACTTCAGCTACGGAATCTTATTGAGTAGGCTCTGCGAGTTTGTGTAGACACACACGATTGCCTCTGTCTTAAGAGTAATGACGGGTGCTCTTTCTGTTGCCTCTCTGTTCTCGAAGCGGTCACACTGTGGTCGGCTTCTAGTCGTTTTTTGTTTGCCTACTAGGCTAAAGCTGGGCTTAGCAGCTGTCCTTGAATCTTGAATCGGGGATAACCGAAGGATAGATACTTCGTTGGTCGCGCTAGAAACAATCCTAATGGCAGCGCGGTTTGCCTTTGGCTAGCATACATGACACTTCAGTTGTGGTGATAGTGAGTGCTTCAGGTTTCTCCATTCCTCAAGGAATCGATATTTCATTTCCTCATCGAAGAGATTGATCTATATGAGCGGGAGTGAGGATAGATTGCTGAGGTGCGAGGGTCTTGGGATCCTCAGGATTCTCTCGGCCGCTGCATTACGTAACCTTGATTTCTCTAGTATATATTCCCACTATTCACAATCATGTATATGAATGTGTTCCTTAGCTTTTCCTTCTCAGAATAATAGATCGAGCCTCTGCTCTGGTACAGTTTTTCTTTGCGCTTTCACGTCTGCGGTGCCGCTCTTCCCATAAAAGATCCCTGTGGATTCGTATATGCTTCCGCTCCAACGTATGAAGCATGGAGCGCGAGTAAGAATACGTTATGCCTCTGTTACGCTGTTTTATTCCAGCCTGATTGGTCTAGATGTATGGACCTGTAATTGAAAAGTGCTGCTGTTTAGTCGGTGATGTTCAGACTTTGTTGGTGTCACCCCTAGAAACTGGAGCAACAAGACCATTATGCCTCGATCGTCAGAATCCCTATTCCGCAGTGCTTGATGTAAACTTTCAGGCACTCCGAAGATGATGACACTGGTCCGCCTACTGCCTTCGTCATCAGAGGCTAGGTTTGAGGTGCTGAGAGAAGTGGATATTTTTATCCCGCCTATCAAAGTTGCCGGTGCTGTATGTGCGTTGGAAGAAGGTGATGTAACCATTGCCATGGTAACCTCTCTACTTTTCACCTCTTTTGGTGTAGTCACCTCACTTATGGGTGTTGATGTAAGTGTTGGGCATCGTCCTAGTGGTTGGCAGTAGACCACCGTTGCGTTGAGTGACCTGGACGAGTTGTCCACCCTTTCGTGATCTACC